TTCATGGGAAATAGATGGGGAAACAGTGGGAACAGTGGCAGACTTATTTTTTGGGGCTCCAGAATCACTGCAGATGGTGAAAGCAGCCATGAAATTAAAAGACACTTGCTCCTTGGAAGGAAAGTTATGACCAACCTAGACAGCGTATTAAAAAGCAGAGACATTACTTTGCCAACAAAGGCCTGTCTAGTCAAAGCTATGGTTTTTCCAGTAGTCATGTATGGATGTGAGAGTTGGACTATAAAGAAAGCTGAGCACCAAAGAATTGATGTTTTTCAACTGTGGTGTTGGAAAAGACTCTTGAGAGTCCCTTGCACTGCAAAGAGATCCAACCAGTCCATCCTAAAGGAAATCAGTCCTGAATATTCATTGGAAGGACTGATGCTGAAGCTGAAACTCCAATACTTTGGCCACCTGATGACAAGAACCGACTCACTGGAAAAGACCCTGATGCTGGGAAAGACTGATGGCAGGAGGAGAAGGGGACGACAGAGGATGAAATGGTTGGATGGCATCACCAACATGATGGATATGAGTTTAAGTAGGCTCCAGGACTTGGTGATGAACAAGGAAGTCTAACATGCTGCAGTCCATGGGGTCGCAAACAGTCAGATACGACTGAGCGACTGAACTGAACTGAAAGGGATGACATGTCCCTTCTTTTCCAAGCCTAACTATTCATCCATTTTAGCTGGCGCTAGTGGTAAAGAACCCACCTGCCAGTGCAGGAGACATAAGAGACACGGATTTGATCCCTGGCTCGGGAATATCCCCTGGAGAAGGCAACGGCAACCCACTCCAGTATTTTTGCCTGGAGAATCCCATGGACAGAGGAGCCTGGTGGGCTACACGGTCCATGGAGTCACAGGGTTGAACACAACTGAAGTGACAGCACACACACACACAGTTTCTTTAGAGTCTGCTCCCTTAATTACATTCTCTACTGAATCCCTGTATCCTGCATTTAAATTAACATTCTATTTTGGAAAGGAGAATACCTATCTCTTTGTTTTCTCCATTATGTATATCTCTGCCTAAAGCATAGCTAACAGTAAATGTTTTATGAATAGCAGAATATATAATGAGTTTTAAAAAGTCAATTTTTAAGCTGTGAATGATGTATTTTAAGACACCTGTCCCAAAGTGTGGTAAATAATATATCTTAAAAGAACAGTGATAAGAGCATGGGATGAAGCTCAGACATCACATAATCTGGGGGTTTTCTAATATTTCACAACACAACAAAACTTTTCCAGAAGAAATCTTATTCAGCATGCCAAATATATGTAACTACAGAAGCACTATTAATACCATTTCATGTTCAAATACATTATAATTTGTTACAAACTCAAAGAGACAAATTGAGTGTTAGAGATGTTAGTTAATCTTGACACCTAAGCAACCCATTTATTTCCATAGTAGTTGAAAGTAGGTAGCAGCTTTTGTTTTGTTTTGTTAGTAGCTTTTAATGGTTTGCTTATCCTAGTGTTTGGATATGCTTCAATTAAATTAATTAATAAAGATATAAATAAGAATTTTTCTTTCAATATGAGTTAGTAATCATACGTAAAAACTGCTTACAAGGCAAACAAGAAAAACCCAAACTTCCAATGAGCTATAAAACATCTGTAATACATCAGGACCTAGTGCTATGTATTCATTTGTTACTAAACAAACTGACATACACAGGATGAATATACCCCAAAGGAACCGGCTTCAGTTGTGCCCATCATTTAGTTGAACACAGTTCATGTACCATAGTAATGTATTGTTTAGACAATTCTATATGAATAGACTTGCACAGGACTCAAATTTTTTAAAAATTTACTGCAAACTACAACTTTCCTTACCTATTTAAAATTTACAAATAATTAGAGATAGTAAAAGATGTTTTATTCTAAGGAATGATTGCCCTCCCCCTGCCACAATAAACCAGGTATAACCATAAAACACTACTGTTTGCAATGTGACAAATTTTATATTTATGTACACAAGAGTGTTAAAATGGAGCTAGAAAAACTGGATATCCACAAGCAAAGGATGAAGCTGTACCCTTACCTAAAACCAAATGCAAATATTAACTCAAAATGGATCATAGTGCTAAATATAATAGCTAAAACTATAGAACTCTTAGAAGAAAACACAGGCAGAAAGCTTCCTGAGACTGGATTTGGCAATGATTTCTTGGACACCAAAAGCACAGTCAACAAAAGAGAAAAACTGATGAAGTGGATATCATTAAAATGAAAGACTTTTGTACATCAAAGAACACTATCAAGAGAGTAAAAAGGCAACCCATAGAAGAAGAAAAAATGTAAATCATGGATCTGATATGAGATTTAGTATCCAGAGTGTATAAAGAATTGCTATAATTCAACAACAACAAAACAATTTTTCAAACTGGCAAAGGACCTGGACAGACATTTCTACAAAGATAAACAGATGGCCAATAAGCACAAGAAAAGATGCTCTACATCACTAATCACTAGGAAAAATGCAAATCATAACCACAAAGAGATGCCACTTCATTAAGTGGCACTCATTAAGTGAAGTGAAAGTTACTCAGTCGTGTCCAACTCTTTGTGACCCCATGGAATTCTCCAGGCCAGAATATTGGAGTGGGTAGCCGTTCCCTTCTCCAGGGGATCTTTCCAACCCACGGATTGAACCCAGGTCTCCTGCATTGCCGGCGGATTCTTTACCACCAGGAATGGCTATTATCAAAATCACAGAAAATGACAAGTGTTGAGGTGAGGATGTGGAGAAACTGGAACCCTTGTGCTGGCAGGAGTGTAAAAGGCTGCAGCTGCTGTAGAAAACGGTGTGGCAGTTCCTCAAAAATTGAACACAAAATTACCATATGATCCAGCAGTTCCACTTCTGGGTATATAACCCAAAGAAGTGAAAGCAGGGACTTGAACAGATATGTGTACACCAAAGTTCAGAGCAGTATTACAACAGCCAAAAGGTGGAAACCAAATGTCCATCTACAGACGAATAAACAAAATGGGATATACACACACACACACACACAATGAACTGTTATTCAGCCTTAAAAAGGAATGCAATTCTGATTCATGCTCCAACACGGATGAATCTTGAAGACATTACCCTAAGCGAAATGAGTCAGATACAAAATAAATATTACATGATCTCATTTATAAGATATATCTAGAGTAGTCAAATCACAGAGACAAAGTAGAAAAGTGTTATCAAGGGCCAGAGGGAAAGGGGTTGGAGAGTTAATGTTTAATGGATACAGTTTCAGTATGGGAGGATGAAAAAGTTCTAGAGATGGATAGTCATGACAGGTGCACAACTATGTAAAAGTATCTAATACCACTGAACTGTACATTTAAAAATGATCAAAATAAAAAAAATGATTAAAATGGTAAATTTTATGCTGTATGTGTCATGCATGTGTGCTGTCGTGTTGGATTCTCTGCAACCCCATGGACTACAGCCCACCAGGTTCCTCTGTCCATTGGCTTCTTCAGGCAAGAATACTGGAGTAGGTTGCCATTTCCTCCTCCAGGGGACCTTATCGACCTAGGGATCAAACCTAGGTCTCCTGCATTAGCAGGTGAATTCCTTACCACCGAGCCACCTGGGAAACCCTTTATGTTGTATATTTTACCACACACACACACACACACAAATATATATATGTGTGTATATATATATACGTGTGTATATATAGTGTGTGTTTTTTATTTTTTATGGTGGCAATATAGGAATGCAATAAGGAACATAAGCTTACGAGTTATGCTATCTGTTTTCAAACACAGCTCTGCCACTTTATAGCTCTGTAGCCTGTGCCTATTTTCTCATACGGTTATAGAACCTGTATCACAGGATTACAGCAAGGATGAAGCCAATACGTGTAAAGTACTTAAAACAATGTATGTCATAAAATAGGTGCTTTATACTGGAGCCCTTGGTGGCTCAGACGGTAGTTTGCCTGCAGTGCAGGAGACCCCAGATCGATTCCTGGGTTGGGAAGACCCGGGAAGATCCTGAGTTGCGAAGACCCCCTGGAGAAGGCAATGGCAACCCACTCCATTGTTCCTATAGGTTTAAAACACATTTTAAATGAGATTAAACTCAAACATCTGGAGTACCTCTGAAGGTCCTCCTCAAAATTACAGACCTCAGTAAAACGTAGACTGAAAACCAGTGATTTAACCCAATTTCTCATTTTACTGGTAAAGGAATTTCGAGTTCAAGGTATATGACTTGCTTGAACGCACATAGCTTGTTTGCTAACATTAATCTTCTTAGAATAAGAATTTGAGGTCAATGATACTAATGCTCACATTCAACTACTTCAGAACCAAGTGCAGTCATGAGATTTTATAATATATGTCCAACAGTCTGTGAATAATAGTGTGATAGTCATCTACCATGCTAATCTAATGAATAATTAAGCGTGGGGTGGAAATCAAAAGGTAGCCAAACCAAAAGAAAAGTCAGTTTAATTAGTTTCAAAGACACCGCTTCTGAAAATGAAGTGTTAAAATATTTGTGAAAACAAATGATACTGACCAAGAGTTTGAGACACACCCAATAGGTCCTCACTACTCCATGCCTTTCAGCCAGTTACTCGCCACATAATAATCTTAATGCAACCACTGACTCTGAAATATCAGCAGCTTTTTCTACCAAACAGAACTAATATGCATCATGTAGGAAATACCTACAAATAATTACTTATTAAATTCAAACAGGAGAGAGCAGCAGTCCAAATAACACAAAATGTTTCATCCAAAAAAATCATGTGTTGAACTATGTAGACATATCTGTACTTACTTGAATAGGCTAGGTCTGTTTTCTGGGAAATTCACAACACTGAAAGCAAAATAACAGACGATCTTTGAAGGTCAGATGAACAAGAGCTAAAAAACCTCTGAGCGTCTCTAATTTTGCCCTTCCCCCACGGCTCTTCCACCTCAAGGCCTCTCTCAAAGGAGAACGCCACCCCCACTCGGAAAGCCCTCCTCTCCATCTACACCAGCTGAAATCCTACTCATCCTTCAAGGTCCCACTTAAACGCCACGGCTTCCACGGATTTCCCCCCAGTGCTCCAATTTAGAATCATTCCCTCGCCTCTTCACTTCCCTATTTTGCACCTCTAGTTCAATATTTAATTATGTAATGCTTGGCATTACCATTACCTACATTCACTTCTTTCCCCACCTTCCCCCAAGAAAATCTTAGGCGCAGCAGGCTAGGGAGGAAGGGAATTAACATTTGTTAAACACCTTTGGTGCCCTGCCAGGTGCTAGGCATTTTGCACACATTATCTCATTTAATCCGTTTGACAGCCAGCTCGGGGAGGCAAGCAGGTGGTCTTAGTTATTCCCATTTTACTGACTGAGAAGCATACTGTTGAGAGTGCAATATCTTATCCAACGTCACACTACCAGCCAATTCCAGTGTATACGGAGCAGCTGGCTCCCCTGGCTTCAAAGAGCTCTTTCGAAACACCACGATAAGCTATAGTCTTGTTCACTTTATGCCCTCCCCCCTGCCTAACAGCAGCTATTCCATAAATACTTGCTGAATTGAGTATTCCTTCGGACTCACTGCCACCTTTTTACCACCACCATCACGCCCCACCCCTAACCAGTTAGCTTTACTGTTCCCTTACAGCGGACTTCACACACATCTCCAAGACAAACGCTGCAGACTACACCAACCCTTACCGGGAGGCACAGGGAAGAACCGTTTGGTTCTCTCAGATTTTCCCCAACGGCTCTTCCCACACAATATACGAGAGCCACACAAAGTCACATTTGATGCAACGCTTACACCCTTCCCCAAAGCTCTTATTTCATCCTAAGCCACGTCTTCGTGCTTACAAGCAATGACTTATGCGGTTTCCAGCTCACACAGTGAGGACACCCTAAGACGCTGTCTGAATAAGAAACCACATCTCTCAAAGCGTCTTAAGACGAAGGCACCCTGATATTACTTCACTGCCTTCCATCTCCTCTTGCCCCCCGCCCCCCCACCATGAGCTGCAGTTTGGATTTCCGGCGGGAATGCACACGCGCACACACACACACACACACACACACACAGACGAGATGGGCTCAAAAGCCATGGAGCAATTACTTAGCTTGCCTAATTAGAAAGAAAACACGGAAGGTGCCCCGCCTTTCTCAATCTCTGCACTGAACTCATTTACGAAAGATGCGGGGCACCGATATCCGTGGAACCCCAGACACCGAATCACTGGTTTCTGCGGCTAGTCGGGGGAAGGAAGAGTCCTTGCCTCCCCGCGGTCCCGGGCCACCAGCCCCGGAGCGGGGTCGGAGAAGCCCAACCGCACCCTCCCCAGGCGGCCTTGCATCTCATTTTCTCCCTCTGTCGCGGCCCCCGGGGGTGCAGGGTGCAGCCCNCCCCTGCCCGCGCCCCCTGGCCCGCCTCGCTCCCAGGCGCCCGACCGCACCCAGCCCCGGCAGCCGGCGCTCCGCCTGTCCTCCGCGCGTCCCTGGGAACCGCCTCCAGGAACCAGTGAATCAGAGAATGAATGAGTGAGGGAGGAAAATTCCGGGGCTGTGCCACCCTGCTCGCTTTTCCTTGGAAGCAGGCCCGGCGGCCTCTGTCCGAGGGCCCGGGGACACCGAAGCCTTGACCGCGTCTGTCAGGGACCTGCTGGAGTATCCCGAGACTCCTGCAACCCAGCAGACCGGGTCTCAGGCACTTAAAGGACCGCAGTCATTGCAGTCTGTGAGGCCTTTTTTTAGGCAGTCCCATTTTGACCAACAGCTCTCTGAGTTTCATGCACTGTGTTAGGAAGCTTTTAGAAATTGGACATTTCAGTTATTCTCTATTACTTTTTAACCTTGCAGTTTGCTTACCTTGTGTTATTAATTTCTGTCTCACACACACACCCCTTGTTGAAACCGTTTGGGAGTAAGGTCGTGGCATCTTTATTACCAAGCTCTAAGTTACTTGGATACTGCTTATTTCGATGTAGACTTGACTTAGACTTTAAAATTCTGTTTGTGTCTTTATTTTGACCTTCTGATTAAAAGAAGGACAAAATAAAAAAATAATAACAAAAGAAGGACAAAGTAGAATTAAATCATTTTTGCCTGGCTACGTGCAAAGCAGATTTGTTGACATCATTAAAACAATTAACAAGTCGGGAGTGTGACCTGGAATTAGTTGCAGTGAACATTTCTTTCTCATGTCTTCCCATATGCTTGCTAAATAAGAGTATCTGTATCTTGAATTTTCACAAAGAATTGACTGTACATTTCTGAGATCCTGGCTCCCTTTGTAAGAACCAGAGTGTTCATTTCTCTGTCCCTGGGCCAAATCCTGGTTTGGCTAATTACATTCCTTCTTTCAGATATTCTTGAGAACTTTGAAGTGGTTTGATCTCTTGCACAATCTGTTTCAAACTGGTACACAGTCTGTTTCAAACTGGTATTTAGAACCATACAATACAGTTACCAGTTGCATTTCACACTTGAGATATCTGTACCTTAGTAGCAAAACTGCAATTTTGTATTTTAAGTCTAGAAGGTACTTTAATATTCTTGTGTAGAATAGTAGTATCTCATAAATAAAGATGCTGCTGCTGACCAATTTTTTTAACTTTTTATTTTATATTGGAGTATAGCCAATTAACAATGTTAATTAACAATGTAATAGTTTTAGGTGGACTTATAGCCTTCTGTTACTTGTGGAGTTCATCATTCATTACCTCGAATCATAGTTATTTCAGTAAGTTATGGTCTTTCCTAATGAATGTAATGCAATAGTTTATTCATCCTTATATCTTCCATGATGTCTAGTATAGTACCTTGCACAATAAGTATTTAAAAATATTAATAAATACTTTAAACATTTTGATGAGTGATAATTCATACAAATCTGTCTCTAGCCTCTTACCCCATACCCCTCATGACCAGGTTTGTTGAGATTATGCACACCTGAGTGCAAAACCTAATAACACCATATTCTCATCAAATGCTACTTATGAGGCTGTATGATAACTACACAGGGAAGATATTCTCTTCATCGAAACATTTATTTTTATATTTTTTTAAATTTTTTATTGTAAAAAAAAAATTTTTATTGTAGTGGTTTTTGCCATACATTGACATGAATCAGCCATGGATTTACATGTGTTCCCCATCCTGATCCCCCCTCCCACCTCCCTCTCCACCCCATCCCTCTGGGTCTTCCCAGTGCACCAGCCTTGAGCACCTGTCTCATGCAATAGGTTGCTTCCATGTCCTGGCTATTATAAACAGTGCTATGATGAACATTGGGGTACACGTGTCTCTTTCAGATCTGGTTTCCTCGGTGTGTATGCCCAGGAGTGGGATTGCTGGGTCATATGGCAGTTCTATTTCCAGTTTTTTAAGGAATCTCCACACTGTTCTCCATAGTGTCATTGAAACCTTTAAAAAATAGACTGTTAGGGATGGGATGGAGAGGGAGGTGGAAGTGGGGATCGGGAAGGGGAACACATGTAAATCCATGGCTGATTCATGTCAATGTATGGCAAAAACCACTACAATATTGTAGAGTAATTAGCCTCCAACTAATGAAAATAAATGGGGAAAAAATAAAAATGAAAAATAGACCATTGAGTGTTTTTAGACAGCCCCTAGCTCTCTCTCCTCGCAGTGCTTAGGTTGGTCAAACCTAATCAGAAAACAGTCACTTTCAGCTGTTGAGAAAAGTAAACAGGTTTTCATCAGTTCCTTTGAACCATAAAATCATTCATTCATTCAACAAGGGTTTTATTGAGCTTTAACTAAGGCCTAGGAATATAAAGACAAGATGGTTCCAGCCCTCAAAAAGCACATGGTCATATTACCTTATGTAAAATAGATCGCTAGTGGGAAGTTGCCGTGTAGTGCGGGAACTCAACAGTGTGCTGGGACAACCTGGAAGGATGGCTGGGAGGTTCAAGAGGAGGGGGTGTGTATACCTATGGCTGATTCACTTTGTTGTATGGTGGACACAACACAGCAAGGTAAAGCAATTATCCTCCAAATTAAAAAAAAAAAAAAAGCACATGGTCTAGTGAATGAAGTTGGCAAAGAAATCACAATTGGAACACTGTACGGAGTCTATTCCCAGGTCAGGGCAGCCTCCCCAGGGGAGGGGATTTTGAATGTTCACGGGCAGAGAGGAGCTAGCCAGGTGAAGAAGGAGGAAACAGCCATTCCAGACAAGGGCAGGTATAGAGGCACGGAAGAGCACAATGCCTTGGAGGTTCTACAGGTTGCTTCATATTGTCGGGACAGGTACAGAGAACAGTCAAAGAGGTGAGTGGAAAAGGCAGAAGGATCTCATCAACAAAGGGGCTCATGTGCTAAACTGAGGAGTTTGAACTTGATACTTAGGGAAATAATAAATAATACCAAAAATCTTTGGAGTATTTTAATTAATAAATTGGAGAAGGAAATGGCAACCCACTCCAACATTCTTGCCTGGAGAATTCCACAGACAGAGTAGCCTGGCAGGCTGTCGTCCATGGGGTCGCAAGGAATCAGACATGACTGAGCAACTAACACGCACACACACAATTAATAAATAAAAATATAAAATATTTGAAATATTTTAAGGGTCAGAACAACTGGGTTAGTGTTTTGAAGACCAACGAATCCAGACTAAGGGCATGAGTATGTTAGGAGGGGATGGTAACATCCCAGAAAAGCTATGTTGTTAGTCTCTGTAATAGCAGAGGCAAGGAAATGGTGAGCAGGGATCAGATGGCAGAAATACTAAGGAGGTGGGATCCACAGACTTTGATGTATGATTAGGTATGAGCAAGAGGATGAGAGGGGCACTC